TTCTTACACAGAGGAGCTAATTTAAATTTAATTCTTATTTTTTAATTTATATCAAATATAAATTAATGTTTTGAACTCTTGTTTAAAAAAATCAATATTTGTTTTTTATATTTAAGGAGGTTCTAGTCCTAAAGAGGTAGGGGAATTTATGTAGACAGTAACCTTCTGGTAAACAATGTGAATAAAATAATATATTAATTAAATTTATAACCTAGCTCAGTAAATGTTTGCATGTTTTATATCTAATATCATTTTTTAAGTAAAAAGGATTGGTAATCACATTATTTTTTATTTATTCCTTTTTTTTCTCTCATTTTTTAAACAATGCTCAATGTTAGTGTTTTCACAGTGTTGTTACCTGAAAGTGTTGTAAATATCTTTATCTTTTCCATGTTTAAACTTTCATATTGCTGTGAAGATTCAATAAAACACTGCCTGAGTCTAAACTGAGCCCATATCCTGCAGGGGTGAAGATAAGTGGCATACAAATGCAAACTGGCTGCACAATTTTAACGGTACAAAGTGAAATAGTTTATTTTCATGCAAATACAGAAAAGTAGCAATCATTAAGTAAGGCATCATGTTTATAAAATAATCACAGATCACTTTTAATAAAAATATTTTCAATTATAAAAGCTCCTAATCTCTGAGAAAAAAGTTAAGTACATCTGTCGGGGCAAAACTAAAAAAAAAATTAAAGATCTACAGATAACTGAAATACTTTGAAGGACAATGCATGATGACAATAATCAGAAACTAAAAACAGACATGTTGTGGTGTCCTGGACATAATTCCTCCTGCACAGGCCCGACTGCCTGAGCTGAAAGACAGGAAACAACCACAGAGATGAAACAGGTAGAAATTAAATAAGGTCAAACTGCATCAGATGAAAATAATTATTCAGAACATGATTCAGTGGAAACAAACAAGTTCTTTTTAACCATTATTTATGGGACACATCTTCTGAAAGACGGGTAAAAGGAAACAAAAACTGTGTGTGTCTGTGTGTGTTCTCTGTAATTTCACAAGGAAGTGTTATTCCTGTTTAACACTTATAAGAAAATCACCTTTTCAAGGTATGAAAAACACCACTGTTGTCTTATTTCTTTATTTGGTGTTCCCTCACGGTCATCACTTTGTTTTGTGATGAAGAAGTTGTGTTTGCTTCCTCTTCAGTTCCCTTTAGCTCAGTGAGTCATAAAACAACACGTGTTGTCACCAAACCCTTTCAGAGTTTTCACAAAACAAAACAAAACTAAATAATGAATTTATGGCTGAAAACACATCCTGACTGGCCTTCTTCTGCCTCAGCCTCACATCTAAACAGTATCTGATACAACAGTTCATCCATTCAGTCGACTGTGATTAGACTGAGTTAAATACAGGTTTGAACAACTCCACACACACTGACAACAGTTCTGTCAGACCACCTTTAGAGGTGGGAAACAATTTATTATTCTGGATCACTTCAACCTGCATACATGGTCTGAAACCCAATGTAGACATCCTAACAGACCAACAGGACCCACACAGTGATTACACAAACTCAGGGGTACACAACGGAGGAGAAAGGAAGGCTGCCTTATGTTTTAGTTTATTCTGATTGTTTATAGAGCTGCTTAGATGCTCACCATAAGCCATAATGTGCCGAGTCAATAGATCTTTAGCACATTTTGGTCATGACGCATGCGCACACACGGTTTTCACACATTCACCACAAGTAAGGGGGATTGTTCCCATATGAGTTAAGTGTTTACGTTCCTCCCAACGATAGCAACGAGAAAAGTGACTTTTGTAGTGTGTATTATTGTTTGAGGCAACGTGACCGAGTAAAAGATAAAAACACGGTTCCCCCCACCCTCGACACGGTGCTCCCCCTCGACACAGTGCCCCCCCCAATCGACACGGTGGCCCCCCTCGACACGGTGCCCCACCACTCTCGACACGGTGCCCCA